AGTCCCATGATCCTTTAAGTACCTCTGACCCTAAACCCTAAATACCAGTTACTAAGTCCCATGATCCTTCAAGTACCTCTGAACCTTAAACCCTAAACCCTAGTTACTAAGTCCCATGATCCTTTAAGTACCTCTAAACCCTAAACCGTGAACCCTAGTTACTAAGTCCCATGATCCTTTAAGTAGCCTCTGAACCCTAAATCCTAAACCCTCGTTACTAAGTCCCATGATCCTTTAAGTACCTCTAAACCCTAGACCCTAAACCGTCGTTACTAAGTCCCATGATCCTTTAAGTAGCCTCTGAACCCTAAACCCTAAACCCTAAACCCTAAATCCTAAACCCTAAACCCTAAATCCTAAACCCTAAACCCTAATCCGAAGGATAGGCCGGGACTCTTTCGCAAGGCTTCTTCGACCCGCGCCCGGGCAAAGTTCGCCTCGACGGTGCCTTGGCTGCGCGGGGATGGGCTTAGGATTTGGGGTTTCTTCTTAAAGGAACCCAAAACCCTTTTTAACCCTAGAAAGGGTAGGGCTTTAGGGTTTTAGGGTTTTAGCGTTTAGGGTGCTGGGTTCAGGGTTTAGGATTTTGAGTTTTAGGGTTTAGGGTTTAAGGGTTTAGGGCTCTAGGGGTTTCGGGTTTAGGTTTTAGGATGCTGGGTTCCTTTAAGGGTTCCTTTAAGGGCTCCTTTAAGGGTCCAGGGTTTAGGGTTTAGGGTTCCTGTAAAGGGAACTATAATCTACAGGGATCCTAGGCTTCCTTCGAAGGGTACTATAGGGTTTAGGGTTTAGGGCTGTAGGGCTTTGGGCTTTAGGGTTTAAGGGTTTAGGCTTTAGGGTTTAGGAGGCTGGGTTCCTTTAAGGGTTCCTTGAAGGGTTCCTTTAAGGGCTCTTTTAAGGGTTCCTTTAAGGGTTCCTGTAAGGGTTCCTTTAAGGGTTTAGGGTCCAGGGTTTAGGGTTTAGGGTTCCTTTAAAGGGAACTATAATCTACAGGGATCCTAGGCTTCCTTTGAAGGGTACTATAGGGTTTAGGGTTTAGGGCTGTAGGGTTTTGGGCTTTAGGGTTTAAGGGTTTAGGGTTTGGGGTTAAGGGTTAAGGGTTAAAGGTTTAGGATTTGGGGTTTTATGGTTTAGGGTTTTAGGGTTCTGGGTTCCTTTAAGGGTTCCTTTAAGGGTTCCTTTAAGGGTTCCTTTAAGGGCTCCTTTAAGGGTTCCTTTAAGGGTTCCTTTAAGGGCTCCTTTAAGGGTTTAGGGCTTTAGAGTTTAGGGTTTTAGGGTTTAGGGTTCCTGGAAAGGGAACTATAATCTATAGGGATCCGAGGCTTCCTTCAAAGGGTACTATAGGGTTTAGGGTCCAGGGTTTAGGGCTGTAGGGCTTTAGGGTTTTAGGGCTTTAGGGGTTTAGGGTTTTAGGGCTTTAGGGATTTAGGGATTTAGGGTTTAGGGTTCAGGGTTTAGGGCTTTAGGGGTTTAGGGTTTTAGGGTTTTAGGGTTTTAGGGTTTAGGGCTTTGGATTCAGGGTTTACAGGTTAGGGTGTTGACAGGTTTGGGTTCAGGATTTATGGGGGCTGGGGTTTAGGGTTTTGGGGAACATATGGGATTTAAGTTAAGGGTTTAGTGTGGACTTCTTGTTTACGGAGGGAGAAAAAACTTTCAAAGTGGGTTCCTTTACAGGATTACAAGTTCCTTTAATTGTAGGTCTAGAAGGCTCGTCGTTTAACCCTCAGCCCCAAGCCCCTCAAGCGGCGTAGGGTAAGGGCAGCATAGGCTGCATATGATGTGGTCATCCATTGTCCTGCAGTTGTGAAGGATATGCTCTATCACTATCCTAGAGGCTCCATATATACTACCACTATAAAATTATGTCCCAAAAGACCATAATTATTATGGCTTTAGGGACCTAATTCCATGATGGTAGTATAGAAGGATATGATCTATCACTATGGGGTCAGAACCTAACACTTAGCAGGGAGCGGCGCTGCAGGTAGACGAAAACCCTTAGGACTTCTTAGGCTCAGATTAGGTTTGAATCTCAGCAGGGTCTCTGGAGGCGCGTATGGCATGCCATAGAAAAAGCACAAGACGACTAACACCCCCCTTGCGACAAAAAATGGTACGTAGCGCCCTCACACGTGCTTCCTGAAACACTGAAAACCACAGAAACCCCTTGTGCGTGCTTAGCTTGACAGTTTGCCATAGAGGCCTGAAGAACTTCTAATGATACTTCTTGGGGCTCCTGTTTGTGAAAACTGTGGAGATGACTTAACTACCAATTCATTAAGGCGCCTATAGTAAGATGAGCTGAAGAGAGGAGCAACAGCAGTTTCGCGGGAGGTGTTTCTAGGTGGTTGTTTATGGTTGATTAGATGCTGATATCAAACAGCACATCCTGTTTATGAGGGTTTTAAGGAACATGTAAACTAGTACATGCAAAGAGGAGCGCTAAATAATAGTAGCATTGCATAACCCTGAACCCTAGACCCTAAACCTCAAACCCCTAAAGTCGTATTGCTGCGGGTTCAAGGCTCGGGTTGGGCCTTTGGTTTAGGATTTAGGGTTCAGGGTTTAGGGTTTAGGGGTCTATCCAGCAACATACGGTTGATGATATAAATCCCGCATTACCCATACTGAGGAATATACCATAATTCTCATAGTTTAGGGTCCTTAAGGTAATGCAGGGTTTACATCATCAACAGTATTGTGAGCTTCTGGCACTTGCTATAGTGGAAGGCCAAAAGTTGAAAACGCAATAGCCTCAATCCTTAAGAGTAATGTATATAGGGTCCCAGCACTATTTGTCCTTAATCCGGTTTCCAACTTTTTGGGGTTTACAGAAATAAGAATGTAGGGCCTTTTGAGTTCTTTGTGTTTTGGGATTTTATGGCTGTTGTGAGCCCAGGTGGCAAGGTTTAAAGATTACTTGGAATCCCCACCCACTTAGTTATAAGCCTGCTTCGTATTGATATACCGCCTGAATCGCCGAACTAATCCCGGTGTTACAGTAGTTTAGGGTTTGGGGTTTTGGGGTTGGGGTTAGGGTTGCATTTAGGACTAGGTATGCTACACGTATGCCCCAAACCCTAGACCTAAACCTTGGGGCAATGCAAGTCAGACCGGCAAGAGGCAAGAATGACCAGTCGTCTTCGCCGCTGCCTGTCATAACTTTTCCCGAAAACATTCCCTAAGTCTCCATATCCCTGTAAGGTCTATTCTTGGGCCCTATAAACCCTAAACCCTAAACCCTGAACCCTGAACCCTAAACCCCTAAACCCTAAACCCTAAACCCTGAACCCTAAACCCTAAACCCTAAACCCTAAACCCTTACGGTACCCGAATAGAAACCCCTTTAAGGCCGACCCTAGACCTTAAAGCCGGAACCCTAAACTGGGTCCATGGAGTCTTCTATACTGAACTTAAGCTGTAGGGTTTAGGGTTTAGAGTTTAGGGTTTAGGGTTTAGGGTTGGGACCGTCGCAAAAATGGTAATCTTTAGCTGTTTCTTAGGGATTGTAAATCACAAGTTTTGGGTTCAAGGTTTAGGGTTTAGGGCTTACGGCTTAGGGTTATAATCACCAGAGATTAACATACACTATTTCTAAGGACCCCTGAGTCTTAACTACCCAGAGGCTGCTCAGGGTTTAGGGCATAATCCGCCAATATCTAGTTTCCATTCCTTCCGATCCACCATAGCTGGCCTTCGGCACTTTGGAACGTCCAGCGGATGCCTGTAGAGGAAAGAACAAGGTTGCCCAAAGGCTCCATATCTATTACCATCATGGATTATGGTCTTTTGGGACCTGCTTCCATCGTCGTAAGGGATTTGGAGCCTCTAGGTTGCTTTGTTGATGTATGTGGGCGGCTTCAAGGCATACAGTTGGCGTGTTCATACTTCAGGGATCATGGGACGTAGTAACTAGGGTTATAATTAAGGTAACGATACTTATAATTACTTATAATCCCCAATTGATGTGTTCTTTGTAACCTTACTTACTAAGTCCCATGATCCTCTAAGTAGCTTGTTCATGCTTTTCGCACTGGGTGTTGGATGCATGCTTGCGGCTGCACTAGAAAGCCAGTGTCTGCCTATACGGTATCATAATTAGGCTTTTTTGAGGTGTAGTGGTACGGACTTTTAGGGTTTAGGGTTTCTTCGTATGGTTGTATGTGGGTGTGTGCTAGATCTCATAGTTAGCACCAATTCGGGCTGCCTGCATCACGTCCCCAGAGAACGAAGCACTGCACTGCAGTAACCAAGGAAAAAAGTTATGCAATTGTGGTTCTTACTTGTGGTTCTTAATGGCTCCTCTCAAAAAGTGTCCGACAAAAGAGTCAACAAAAGGTAGCCATGTATGGTGCTCCAGAAAACGAAACATTGCAGGCGCAGAACTTCAGCTATCTTTCATCCCGGAAAGCTCAGAGCACTCACTCACCTCGCAAATCATAGCATCTAGCCCTAAACCTTGGCTACTGCACGCCATACAGTATCAGACTATAATACGGGTACTATTCCGGGCCGCTTATATCTATAGTACAAGTAATATCCAACTTCCGTGCTGAGTGGGGGCAGTATCAAAGCCAAACTCCAAAACTCGAAGCGCGTGACTCGTAATCCTCATGAAGCCTCGAACCCATCGAAATCAACGCCTAAGCCGATAACCTCCACTCCAATAAGACGACAAAATCCACACAAAAAAAACCTAAACCCTGAACCACAACAACTTACACCTTAAACTCCAAGCTAGATCCTAAACCCCGGGTCCTTAAACCCTACACCCCAAACCCTAAAGCCCTAGAGCCCCGATCCGCACCTCTCGCGGCTTTGGCGAGGGTCTTGGCTGCTTGGGGCTCGTCTTCCGGCCTGTGCCGAGGTTGGTCAATGTAGGGGTTTAGGGTTTAGGGTTTAGGGGTTAGGAGTTATTGTTTAGGGTTTAGGGTTTAGGGTTCAGGGTTTAGGGTTTAGGGTTTATTGTCTAGGGTTTAAGGTGTAGGGGTTGCCCTTAGCCTCAAAGGACTCATACGTCAAGGCTTTTGGGCCCAAAGACCCTATTATAGAAGGCTTTGTGGCTTTTTTGATGCTAAGGGTTAGGGTTTACTTGGAGGGTCGGGGGACTTAGTAAATGGTTATTTTATAGACTTATAAGTACTATAACCCCAATTAGGGTCCCTTTTGGGGTACTTATAAGTCT